CTTTACAAACGGCACCCCATACTGATCAACCCTTATCTCTCCCTCTTTCTGTACAATGTGTATGTATTAGTTAGTAGTTAGATCAGATAGATCAGCACTACAGTCTGCACCTGCTCTGATACCCGTAGCATGTGTTGCAATACCAAGCAGTTTGTGGAAACATAAATACCCTGATGGAATGAAGCAATCAAACACCATCTTTCTGTTTAACATACAATAATGGTATACAAACAGTGTAATGAAGTTGTAGGATGCATTTCTAATTACACGATAGAACTTTTTTTACACTACAGTTAATCAATAATCTGTTTATTTGTAATTATTTAGTGGAAGCCCCAAAGTGAAGTGTCATTGAAGTCTGCGGCACTCTTGTACTAACTGTGATCTGGAGTGTTTTTGCTCACTGCGACAGGTGTGCACGAAGTGGTACAAGCTGATATTAAGGGTACCTGGCTACATTTCATTCCTTTACATATATTTGTATCAAATAAAAAACTGCAACCCCCGCCCACTGGCTCTCAGAATCAACATCAAAATGTTATGCGATCGTTTCTGTAAATCTAACCACAGGAAGTAAAAGTGAAGATCAAAGTTCTCTATTTCTCCTGTCATGTGATATCTACATGAAATGTCAGCATCTCAAATGTTTAACATCTTGACATTTCACTGTGTAAATTTTAGTTGTCAACGACTGCACAGTGTATTGTGCCTTCGGATTTACAGATACTTTACAGATACTGATATCAATGAACCATATGTAAAGTGAGCATGAAAATAACAGGTTGATCCCAGTTGAGCCTAAAACAACCAACTCAAAACACAAAGTGCATGGTTTATGGAAAGAGCACACTCACCATCTGAGCTTGTTGTGACGGCTTATCCATTTGTCTTGGCTGTGCAGGTGAAAGATATTTATCCACTCGATCCCAGGCTAATGTTATGACTTTGTCATAACTTTTATTTTATTTCTTCATAAGTAAATACTAGCTTGAAATATTGTCTTCCACAGCTCATGCAGGCAGCTGGTAATAGCAACAATGAAGCAGCAAGTGCACAAGTAAGAGGAAGTGCGCTGCTGAAATGTGCGGTTGACGGACTTCAGTCTTAGGCTGGGATTTCCTCTTTTAATGTAAAACCAGTAGTATAGTGACGCAGACAACACTGCAGATATGGGTGTGTCTATCTGTGTATCTGTATGTGTGTATTGTTCAGTGAAACCTGTTTATCAGCTTTTGACTCCAGGAAGCCTGTGCACTACTTTGGATATTCAACCTCTGCTGAGTCTGCTTGTTAGCAGCCTAACCAGATAGGGCTGGATGTGTCATTCATTTTGAGGCTGCCGGGTCAAGTCAAGTCAAGCCAAGTTTATCTGCTCATATAAAACATTACGTCTTCATGGGTCACAGCAACAGTTCCAGACCCAGCTGAAGTTCTCTAAGGATCAACATCCCCCCTCCAAAAAGAATTGTCAAGCGAGGCAATTCAAAGATAGTTCCTGGTCCTGTAATAGCTGGGTTTGATTTTTTGTGGATCCAATATATCCCAAAACAAATCCACTGGCCGCTGCAGTTCCATTGAACTAAATTGATTTTGCCTTGAAACTTTGCCTTTGTTAATACTGTTGTGACTGGGCTTAACTGGTGATAACCATAAGGGATAAGTCACTTCTGTCAAGAGATGGACCTGTGTCATTAGATAATGTTTCAACCTCACACTCAGCTCAATGACAATATTGCTGTGAGCACCGCGAACAGACAGATAAGATGACAGATAGATGTCTACAGCCAAATGAAACTCAAGCCCCTGGAAATGATCCATATGAGTGGAAGAGCACCTCCTGATTTGGGTTTTCTGTTCACTCCATGAATTCCATGGAAGTCATTGTTATTAATGCATCAAACATTTTTTAATTTTTTTTATTTATTTACATTATAGAGCCCTATCTAGTAATGTGCTTGTTTTTTTATGACAGTTGCAGGAGTGACTTGACCACATTCTAAACATTTGTCACCACAAAACTGTTTAGAAGATTATAGAAGATACTAAAAGTCTTCAAATGGTTCACTTCTGATGACTTAAAAAATGTAAACCTCTTCATACCTATCTGATCACCATAAACTTTTATTCCATCCTGTGCTCTCTGCTCTCAAAATAAAGGGCTCCTGTCTGTCCCCAAAGTTAAAAAGAAGTCAACTGGCTGCAGGGCCTTTTCCTATCATGTCCCCTTTCTTTGAAATAACCTCCCTGTTGATATCAGACACTGTGACTCTGTTGTGGCCTTTAAATCCAAACTTAAAACTTTTCACTTTAACTTTCAGTTAGCTGTTCATTTTGTACCTGTCACTATTATCTGTCCGGCAGGATAAAATACATCAATGAATCAATGAAGCCTAGTGCTTACAGCCCATTTAGTCATCCTGATTATCCATAGTGTAATTTTACTATGTTGGTAATTGCATGTCTGTCCATTGCTCTGCCAGAGGTTTCTTCCATTTTCCATGTTAAAGGGTTTTTTGGGGAGTTTTTTCTTATCTGAATCAAGGGTCTAGGGATAGAGGGTGTCATATGCTGTACAGGTTGTAAAGTCCCTTGAGGAACATTTGTGATATTGGGCTAAATAAATAGAATTGACTTCAGAAACTCACTCATAATACAGTGACAGGCTCTAGTCTAGTCATGTATGTAACCAAAAAAAGGAACTTAAAAGTTCTGATATGGGTGGAGGCTAATTTTTTCACATGTCAAGGTGTTAATTTTACAGGAAGTAAAAGTTTGGTATTGTCTTCCAAATGCTTCTACACTTCTGAAAGAGTTACAAAGTAATAGTATGTGTGACTTTTTGATATTCTGAAATACAGATGGTTATCATACACTCCCATCAGCCATTAACAGAGGCCTCTGTCTTGCACACTAATCAAGAAAAACAGGGACAATTGAGACTTGGTGAAATTCTCACAAAATTAATGATAGAACATTTTAGAACTTTATTTTATTTTTTTAATTTCTTGGCTTATTAAATTCATGCCTGTGACGTCATATCCCCTTTGTGCATGCATCAGCGTTGTTGTTCTCTGCCAGAAGCTGTCATACATTGACCTTTTTCCATTTTTAAACCACATTTTACCTCTTTAAAGCCACCAGACTCATTTGACACAGTCTAGAGAGCATACATAGATTTAATGGCTTTAGTTCTCCATCAGAAAGGACTGTCTGATGGCAACCTCCCCGATGAAGAAGTTTCCCCAGATTGCCCACCATGTTGCAGCAGGTGGACAGGAGACTCTTGAACACCATGTAAGGAACAGGATTGATGCCTACTTGTCTGCTCCTGTCTGACTAACACACATCAATGACCATGTACACCTTTAATGAAATGTTGTCTTGATTTTTTAAATGTTTGTACAGAATGCCATGGTTGTCAGTTATCTTGTTTGTTCTTTTGTGCACATATATTTCCAGTGGCGAGGCTTCCATGGTGGGATAGGCACCCGCCCCCCTGTAATCTGATTGTCCACCCCGTGTGCCCCCCCAATGGTCATTGACTTGGGGTAATGCCAATCATTGCGCTAAAGCTCTTTACCGACGCTGCATGCTAAAACGGAAGCAAAGCCGTGTGACTGGACTGTGTTAAGAACTCATGAAGGCTT